CAGGGAAGTTTTTGAGAAATTAAATTAAAATCTAGAGAAGAAAAATTAATGTTAAGAAGATAGATTAGTGCTTAGTACTGGGCAACTTGTTCTTGTTCCTGTGCACAATGGTTTGTGCTCTTACTTTTGTTTGATTAAAAGTAATAACAAGTCAACCCCTTGCCGTAACCATGGCACCGGTTCCAGTCAGTAAGTCAAGAAAGAATAGTCAAGGTATAGGCCAATAGTTTGGGACATTTGTAACTATTATTAAAAGTTAACTAAGCAGAAACTGCTCAAAGCAAAACGCGAACTGAAAGTACAAATGCTTGCTTATGCATAAGCCAAGATACATTCTTCTATTCTAATTGTAGCTATGTAATATTTTGTTTTGTTTGAATAATGCTTCCTGTTTTGTAACCACAAAGTACTGTAAGCCTGCCAAAATTAAAAGTATATATGATCAACTTCACAAGTAAAGATTGGGATCAACACCTTCACTTTGGTGTCTGTGTTGTTTCTCCACCCCCTCTTTCGCCGACTCCTCACCATCCGTTCGTCTCCTGAGACCCCCTGTTGGAGCTGGTCTCCGACACACCAAAAACCGGCGCTATCAACATTACTATATCTGAGGTAATAATAGACTTCCATAGGGCTTCCTTAGATCCCTAAAGGTGGCTCTGCCTCCATGGTATTTCTGGACCCTTCTGAAATCAGCACAGAATTAAAAAGAAGGAAGTAGTCAACTTGTGTTCCTATGTTATTTATGACTCCTGTTCCACAAGTCTCTTCCACAAGAAAGAAACTTCTCAAGTAAGTTATCATAAAAGGATCAGACCCTAGTTGGGTGAGAGAGCACAAGCCTGTAATCCCAGCTATTTGGGAAGCTGAGGCAGGATGATTATGAGTTCAAGGCCAGCCTGGCCTCAAAATAAAAGGGCCAGGATGTAGATCAATGGAAGAAAGATTAACCCCCCACACTTCTCCCTCATTCAATCCACTGTACCACAAGACAAGAACAACAACAACAACAACAAAAAACCAAAAAACCCTGACTCTCCCAGCCCTAGTCACTCAATAAAAGGCTGGGCCATTCTTGTGTTCACAGGCAGTTTTGACTTCCCTTTCAATCTTGGCTGCCGGGTTTCTGTTCTCGAGACTAAAAGGCTCAGGGGTCACTCTAGTTTAACTGGGCTGTATGAAATAACCACACAAGAGACACAAATACTTTTTTCTTTGGCCACACAAGAGACATAAATACCTTTTTCTTTGGGGTCGCTGTGACGGCTCCTCTGCCCTTAAGGGTCCACAGAAAGAGAGAGATCGAGAGCACGTGCTGACCCCTTTTATTGAGGAGAAGCTATTCAAATGAGGCAAGGGGTCAGGTTTCAGGGGGCTGAGTCTATCTTCATGATGTCCACTGTCAGCAGGTTGATTGACACCTGGGTAGGCCACACCCAAGGGCACAGTAAGAGGAGGGGACACACACAAGGCACTTCCATGGAAGATTCTATCCTAAACAGGCAAGGGGTTATATTACAAAGGAACAGGTGAGCACAGCTTCACCCATGAGGCTGTAGCAAGACACACCCATTTCTGTGACTGAGCGCCTCAGCACCCAGCTGGGGAGTGTAACTCAGTCACCCTTAAGGTTGGCCTCCCACACTTGGCTGTTCCCTTCAGCTGGAGGTAAAGGCCCTTCCTTCTCTGCCCCTGCCCCCAACGTTTTGCCTATATACTCCTGCTCACTTGAAATAATAAGATTGTGCCATTAATATAGACTGGACATATTTGTGACTTCCCACAGGGTCACAATTTATTGAATAACAACAAATTCACAAGCTGTATCACTTTTATAGGTTACAATTCTTCAAGTACTGAATGGGTCCCTTGGTAGGAACAAGTCAGGTTCTTTCATTCCAATCTTAATTACTAAGATCTAGAACATTCAAGTCACACATTGCACCTTACACACTGATAAGGTATATAGCTTGCAGAAAAGTGAAGAAGGGTTAAGGTGGTTAGAGTTCTAGGGGGCTGCTCTGAGAGTAAAGATAGACAGCAAATACAAATTCAAGAGATACTGCAAGTGGTCAGATTGGAATTACTAAACATCCCCAGAACTTCAGGATCCAGAGCAAGGAACTTATTCTAGGCCAGGGTCCAGACAGCAGGCAAGCAGTTTCAAAGTGGGCTGCATCAAACAGGAAGATCAAGCTGAGTGGAAACCTGGGGATTCTGATGGTCTGTTGGCAGGTTGGTAGGTGCCCCGTGGGCCCCCATAACCAGTCTTGGGATGCTTTTCCTTTTGTGAATTTCAGGTAAGGGGGTTGTATCTGGTGAGATAATAAGCTCATGGGTCTCAATTTCTTGATAAGCTCATGCATCCATGTGCTTCTGATTTAAATCAATACATTCACAGGTAGTCATTTTTATTAGCACTATTAATTTATCAGTTTGTGCCTTATGGTTATGCTGTGCAGATGGTGGGTTTTTTTTTTGTACACATCAGGTACGAACAAGGGATATTGTCATTCTATTTTAGCCCATTTACACTCAAAACAGAGCAATCCTGGCAAATTACTGCTTTCCAAAATGGAGTAGTTCAGAGGTAGGCAGGTCCTGAAAACTGCTGTTCTAGTCATCGTGGAGTAACTTAAGGCAGGGCACAGCCTGCTCTCCACATTACTTCACTCAGATTCCATTCTTACTAGCTGGCACTAAGACAAAAGTTCCCATCTCTGGTATCACCTTACAAGGGCTCCTACTTTAGATGCCAGTCGCCAGCCCTAGGTTGTTGCACCTGTGCTTCCTACTGACCAGCTATATAGTTGGGTTCCCATGACATCTCCTTAGGTTTAATTTACTAAAATAGCTTATAGAACACAAACACTTTACTGGTTTATTATAAATAGTATTACAAAGGAAACAGATGAAGAGATGCATAGAGTTCAGCAGGGAGAAGGGGCACAGACGTTCGGGCAGGCTACTCTCTAGGAACCTTCTCAGGTTCAGCTATCTGGAAGCTTTCCAATCCCTGTCCTTTGGGGATTTTATGGAGGATTTATTACATATGCCTGATTGATTAAATCCTTGGCCATTGGTGATCAACCTTAACCTTTGGTTCTTTTCCCCTTAACCAGAGTTTGTGGGGTGGGACTAAAAATGCTTGCCCTCCACTTCTGCTTGGGTCTTTTGGGTGAACAGCCACATGCCCTCTGGAGATGGATGCTAGCCATCACTCAACTAATTCACATACAAAAAGACATGATCTCTTTGGAGATTCCAAGGATTTTAGGAGTTGTATGTCAAGGATAAAGACCAAATATATATTTCACAATATTATACTTGACCTAAATAATTTCACTTAGTATCCAATCTCAAGAAGATGCTATTTCTTGACAGGTTGAGAAATCCTGAGAGGTAAAGTAAAATGGCTTTGCTGTGGTTCACATGGCTGAAATGGAGAGCCAGTGTTCTGCTTCTGGAGCCCATGACTGTAGCTACTATTTACCCAGCTCCGTAGACCTAACTCTTGGGGAACAACAGTATTCTTAAAGTAGGAGCAGAGAGGCCCAACACTAAAACAAAATACTAGCAGCTTTCCCCCCTTTATATAGTAGTTTCCCCCAGTTTGAGGGAGATATATTTCAAAACCCCCAATGGATGCTTGAAACTGTAGACAATTCAGAACTTTATATAGGTGTAGCTACTAGTGATGAATGAATGGGTAGAACATAGACATGCTGGAAAAAGGAATGATTCCTGTCCTGGGAGGCAAGGCATGAGAGTTTATCACTCTACTCAGGAAGGCACACAACTCAAAACTTATTGCTTATTTATTTCTGGAATTTTTCATTTAATATTTTCAGACCATAGTCTGAAAGTGGAACTTCCAAGGTGGGGAATGCTGAACACCTAGTCCAGTTTTGTTTCCTTCTCATTTACTAACTGCTGAAAACTGCAAGACAGCTTTCTTAGGCAGCAGCTCCAAGTGTAGGTATGGTGTCTCTCTTCTACACAGCTCCTGCAACAATACACACACACTTTTTATCAGCAAGACTGAGAGGAAACAAAGTCAGACTGTTTCTTCAATAAAGTGACTTACTTCCTTTTTGTTAACTTTGTATTTTATTTCAAATGGCATAGAAGTCATCTTTGATTCTTATTAGAACAAAGCAAAACACTACTATACATTAGCCCACAATGGTTCAAGGGCCCAAGAGTTTTACAGACCACCTTCAATTACAGCCTGGTCCTGCTGGCTGGTTGTTTCTTTTCCTGCTGATACCTAGTTTTTGTTTGTTTGTTTGTTTGTTTTGTTTTGTTTTTTTGGTGGGAGGTGGTAACTGGGAATAGAATCTAGGAGTGCTTTACTATTGAGTTACATTCTAGCCACACACACCCCCACCCTCCCCCCCCTTTACACACACAAACGCCTGTACACACATAAGCAGCTAGAATTCTTTTTCTGGAATTTTTGTTTGTTTCTTATTAGAACAAAGCAAAACACTACTATACA